CATTTTTTATTCAGCTACATTTTGCTTTGAAAAATATAAAATTGCTATAGCCAATTACAACCTTAATTACAACATTCATTTATCAAAATTGGATTTTGAATGAAGTTGCTATACATTATATCCCGTTTAGTTTTGTTTTATTCTTATATTTGAAATAATTGTAGCGCATATTTTACTTTAAAAAGTATTGAAATAAGTTTATATCATATAAAAATAAAAATTAAATCTACTTTGAATAAAAATATTACGTGTTATCAATATTTTATTTACAAAACACAAATTTGATCTTCGAAATGGTTAAATCACCACTTTAGATATGCATTTTTTTTCAGTGTATTTGAAATAATTTTAATATTTTCGAAACTTTTATTTACTGTTATTGCTTATGAAATTTAATGTTAATATTACCAATTTTTATTTAAGTATACAAACAAATTCATGAAATTTTAAATATTTTCTGCTTATAAATCATTTTTAAGCAATTAAAATTGAATTTTTGAAAGTAAAATTCTTTGAGACAAAAGAACAAGAAAATTAACAATTTTTATTTTTTTTTTTAATTTTATTTTAAAATTGAAACTAATTTTGTTTTTTCTATTCTTTTGAAAATTATATTTTAATTACACTTATTTTTAGAATAAAAAATTTTGTTTTACATCAAAAAAATACCAAAAAATAAAAAAGCATTATGAATTTAAACGTTGCATGGCATAAAACAAAAATATTAAATGAGGCTTTATGAAATTTTTCCCCTTGAAAAATTTTTTGTGTTTCTTTACATACTATGCATATCATAAAATAATATTTTAAATTTTATAGAATTTCTAAAGACATTATTATAAAAATTTTTGATTTTAAATTGAATTAAATTCAAAATAAACTTATTAAGAAAAAATTGTGTAGGAGAAAATCAAAAGTAAACTATTCTACTTTTCGAAAAAAGAAATGAGATTATCACGTCATAAGAATTTGCGTTGAAAACGGAATAGAATTCTATTTTAGAATTATATCAATGTCAAATAATTACTATGAGAAAAATGAATTTGAAATTTGCATGTAGCTATTCCCAAAATCAAATTATTCCAGGGAAAAAGTTGAATGAAAATTAAAAACAAAATCAATAGAATATTTTTGTATTGAAAATACAATTTCCAAAATACCTACTTCATTAGGAGTTATCAAGCTAAAACTATTAATATAAACTTGAAAGTCTTTTAAAACTTGGTAGGGTATTTAGAGATTTTACTGCTTATAGCCAGACTTTTTAGTATTCTGTAAATGTTTTTTTTTTTTTTTTTGCGTCTTAATTCATTTGTTCACTTTTTGTTGGAGAAAACACCAAAAATTTTGTTTTTTTCCAAAAACTTTTAAAGTACCGCAAGTTTCTTCTCGTTTTCTCTTACACATTAGTTGTAGAAACAATTTATAGTTTATTCCATATAATATTCTTTTTGTTAATTCCATATAATTAATATAATTTTCTTTCTACCAAATTTTTTGGAATTTGTTTACTTGAATTTTAAGATACTAAAATCTCAAAAATCGCTTGGAATTTATAGAGCATTATACTCGTATTATTTAATATGGTCCTGATCGTCTATCTCGCTATTTTACTGGGAAAGTGAGAGAAATGTGATTAACTACTCGTATCATATACTATTGTGTAATAAAATTTTCGAGGGAGTATTGTGTATCTAATTTTTTTCTAAAATGTATACAAAATCTATTCACTTTGTTTTTGAAAGTGAGGCGTCCAGTCGATAATTTGAATTGAATCCAGTCGATGAAGAGAATTCTGATTTGAAAGTGAATAAAATGGCGAGATACACGATCAGGCTGGTAATAATAAATTGCAATTTTTTGAGAAATCTTAATAACATTTTTAACAATATTAAAAAATTAAATATTTTTGATTAGAATAAATTACAGAAAATTGCTTAGAAAAAAATACATCACTGTTAAGATCATCATTATGAAAATCACCTCTTTTATATTATTTTATATGAGTTTAAATATACATTTTATTTCAAATGCCCCCACCCTTGCAAGAAAGCAATTACGAAATTTATTGAAATTATTTTAATTATTTTAAATTTAATTATTTATTTAAAGGAGAAGATAATTATGTAAACAATTAAATTATAAAAGAAAAATTAAAATTTTTTTTTTCGAAATGGCAATTCAAGGTGAAATAAGCTTCTACAAAATAGGAATTATAAAAATTATTTAGAAATTTTTGTGTTTAATAAGAAGTATAGTATTGAATTAATGATATCATCTGCTTGGTATCATTTCGTTATTGGTATTATACTTGGTATCATACTATATAATATACACATATACATGAAGGTATATATATTTGATTTGAGTAACAATTACAGCCCTATTGTATAGAATCACTAAAATGAAATTTTTTTCCTAAATTTTATTAAATTTACACCGTAATTCTATAAAATAATATGTTTTATGTTATTTTGTGTATTTACGTAAACATTAGATATCCATAATACATGTATATTATATACAAGCATCCGTTATATAACGCGATTAAAATTGAGAATTTGCGTTACTTAAATTGGTTTGTTCAATTGTAAGAATAAAAAATCATACAATTAAAGATTACTATTAAATGCGAAATAAAAATTAAATTAAAAGAAAAGTTTGATTAAATTTTTAATACTAGATGAGATTACAACAATTAATTGCTAAAAAATATTTATCAATATAAATTGAAACGGACCACAAGCAAATTTTAACGAAAATATTGGATGGTATGCAATTTGAATGTTATTTATACTTAAGAGAACGCATATATTCGCTATAACTAATATAGAGGATTTTTGATAATTCAATTCTAATTAAGGTATAATATAAAGCACATTTGATAAATTCAAACTGCAAAATCTACAAAAATAGCATGTTAAAAAATAACAGTTGTGATAATGAAGAACCAACAGAAAAAATGTTGGATATTGAAGAATTACTTAACTAAGTTACAAATCTGTAAAAGTAAAATATTCAGTTTCTTTATGTAAATTTATATGTAGATTTAAGTTATGTTATGTATTTCGATTTGAAATTTAAATATTAAATTAAAAAAAAAAAAATTTTCAAGAATTTTTAATATATTTTTAATTTTTATTAAAAGTATTAAAAATTATTTATATATATATTAAGTATTATTTGCAGTATGGCAAGTTAATCACCAGCATATAATGAAAATTTAAAATTATAAAATCAAACTGAGGTATGATAATAATTGTATGATGTCATACAACAGTCTCATACCCCACCTAGAGAATGATAAAATAGAAAAATAAAATCCTATATGCAATTTTATACGATTTACGTATATTATTTGTGGTATTCCAGTATATTATTTGCATATACACATTATGTATATGTATAAATCTATATGTGAGTATATATTATAAAGGACATTTATATATTCATATATATGTAAAAGTATGCATAAAGGTGAAATTATTATTAAATTTCCATTAAGTAAACTTTTTTTTATTATAAGTAGCTATTTGAGAAATATTTTTAAAAAGTTAATATAAACATTTCTAGTGTCTTGACATGGTGATTATTTATTTTGTTATGTTTTTTTTTTTTTCTTCTTTTATAATATATGTATATGTATATATATATATAACCATTAAAATAGTTTATTATGGATTGGTCATTAACGTTAAAACGTAAATGATCACTTTGTTTGAAGGTTATTTAGATTAAAATAAAATAGATTTTATTTATTTTATGTTTGTTATATACATTATATGTATGTATATATATGTATGTATTTACATATACACCTCGTTTATTTTCAATATTTATGTTTCATTATTTATATTTTATTTTAACAATTTTGTTTTCAGAAATTTTTTTTAATATTATAATGTGAGGCTTATATTTAAATTAAATTATTTTATTTTTTTCTATTATTTTAGAATTTTAAAATTTTGTGATTATAATATTAACTATAAATATATTTGATATATATGTGTGTATGTATAGATGTATATGTATATGTGTGTAGTAGAATTAAACTACATGATATACATATTTGCAGTTGATTGTAATTTTTAATAGAAATCTCTAATAAATTTTTTTGTTTTTGTTTTGAAATTTTTTTTTTTCAAAAAACATTATTTTAAAATAGGATGTGAGGGCGGTATATATAATATGCGTGTATCATCATCACAATCATCAATAATAATCATCGTCATCATCATAATCATCATCATAATCATCATCATAATCATCATCATTATGTATTATTCATAGTATAGTAATGAATTTTATTTATAAACATTCTATATTAAATTTTTTATTTTATATTTATAACAAAAAGCAAAAAATAAAAATGGAATTTAATTTTAACTAAAAAAAAAAACCAAAAAAAAAAATATCAATTGAGTCTGTTTCATTTTAATATCTCTTTGGTATTATATTTTATACACCTGCGACAAATTGAAATGTTTGTGATGAAAGAAAATTAAAAAAGACAAAGAAAAAGAGAAACAAAAATTACAAAAAAAAAAAAAATAAAAATTGATTTTTAACTTACCAAACTTGCATTCCACACACCACACAACACCAAAAACCAATCATTTCAAAAATAATTTTCAAATTTATTTCACTAAATTAATTTTTTTTTTTAATTTCTATTTCTACGTTTTAATAAAAATTGTTGAATTTCAAAAAAAAAAATTAAAAATAACAAAAACAGAATAAAAAAAAAAATTTTTCTCTTCTTGTGCTTGTCCTTTTTTTCTTCTATTCTTGTTTTGTTTTTTTTTTTTTTTTTTTCATTTGTTAGCAAAAATTTAAACAATTGTGAATTTCATTCCACGTTTGATCGCTAATCGTTTCGGATGAAAATTATTTTTTTATTTTACACAAAATTTAAAAATCAAATTTTAATTAATTTTATTTTTGAAAAATAAAATAATTCGTGTATTATAAAAATAAAAATAAATTTTTCAAAAATTTTAATTAAATATTTGAAAAAAAAAAACAAAAAATGTTAATATTAATTGAAAATTTAAAATATTTGAAAATTTTTAACAATTTAAATGACCAATTAAGGTCAACTTCAATTACTTGAAAATTATAATATGATTGAAAAGTGTAAGAAATATAATATTGTTATAAAAACTAAATTATTATATTTTATGAAATTTTGAAAATAATTTATAAAATTTAAATTATTTTAGATTTAGACAATTTTTTTGGATATACGAGTAACAATGTGCACTAGAGAAATAAAGCAGAAAAAATAGTAAATTTTTATTTGAATGCATAAAATGAAAAAAAAAAAAATTGCACGGCCGCCACACTATTTTGCATGAATTTAATGCAAAATTTTTTTTTTTTGTAAGTATAACAGAATATAAAATTTATTTGTTTTTATTTAAACTTTAATTAATTTAGTAGAATTCTGTGATTTTGAAGAATCAAATTTAGAATTATTTATTTAAGTCAATTAATAGTATTAATTGTTATAAAATAAAATTTATAGCCAAAAAAATAACATCTTCTACAAATTAGTAGTTAATAAACTGGCGAATCTAAAATTTTTCCTCAACTACTTTATTTAATTTTAAAATTATATATAGAGAACCATTCAAAATGCTAGCATTTTTCTAATAATACATGTATAATTTAAAATGTTAAAAAATTTCCTTTAATCCGAAAGGATTAGACGCCTTATATGTAGTGAGTATAATATGGTATATTAATTCGTGCGCAAAATATCGTGATTTTCTTGAAAATATGCGTATGTTGCATATGAAATTTTAGATATTTCATTTTAAATGAGGCGTCTCTTTTGGAAATTAAAGGAAATTTTTCATTATTTTAAATTATATTTTTTGAAAAATGTAAACTTTTTAAATTGTTGACTATATAATTTTAAAATTAAATGAGATAGATGAGAAAATTTCAATTGAATAGATAAAACTAAAATGAATTCTAATTAAGAATTTTTAAGGTTTTAAATATTAAATTCAATTTTAGTAAAAAGTTTTTGCTTGTATATGCCAAATTATTCTTATACTTATTTGGATAGAAGAGAAATTCTTAGAATAATTTGATATGTAAAAAAATTTAGAGGTAAGAAAATTTAGATCATATATAAGCAAGAATGAAGAACATGTTTTAATTTTCAAAATTTCAAATGATCTTATGAATATACTGATATTATATAATTTGAATATAGTTATGTGGATTTTACTAATAAATCTATAATATTATATAGTTTTAAAAATAAAATATAACAAATAACGTTGTAAGACAATAATTTTTCCAATATTAGTCATATAAATATTATTGTTAGCAGAATATTGCACCAAGTAGCTTATATCATTAAATAAATAATTATATAAAATTTGAGTTGAAATGGACTAATTTTTCTTCATATATTTCTTCATGATAAACCTCCTAATATTATGGGTAATTAAAATTTGTGTACAAAAATTAATTTATAATTAATAAAAATATAATTTTTTTAGTAAATTTTATTAAATATTAAAATAAATTTTATAAAATACATGTGTGTGCAAATTATATAATAGTATATGAATATTTTTAATTTTAGCTCGACAGCAAATTATCTATATTTCGTTCGTGGTGGATAGGATAATCAATATAACTATCTATAATTGTTGAAGAAGAAAGGAAAAGAAAGGAAAGCTTTAAGGAAAACAGAAGAAGAAGATTTGCGGCCTATATCGCGTAAATTTGAAGAAAAAAAACAATGTTACGAGTACTTTTGTGTAGCATGATGCTAAGTGGTCAAAATAATGATAAATATTAATTTTGATTTTAAATCTATAAGGAAATTGTAAAATTGAATAATTTTATAATTTATTGTTTTTGGTACAACACGAACTAAAATTTTTCTCAAATTTTTTGTAAATATTAATATCAAAACTAACATATTTATTAATTCGAAAGAAAAAGATATTATTACGGAAAAGAGGTCTTGAATACTGTACCCTTAATTTGATAAAACAAAGATAGGGTCTTTAATGAAACAGAAAAAATGTATTCGGCATTACTATCCTTTAAATATTCTAGGGGCATAATATAAAAATAAAATATATATAAATAATATATATAATATATATATTTTATATATTATTATACAAATTATTTCAAAAAAAGAAAAAAATATATTATTTCTGAAAATCTATCAAAAATTAAAGTTAAATTTTATAAAATTTTATAAAATTTTATAAAAGGGTAAGTAAATCAGGATATTTTGATATCTAGATTAAAATTAAGAATATTCTACTAAGTACCGCAGATAATAAAATATAAACTAAGAAGACTACTAAATTTTAAATTTTAAAATTTTCTTTATAGTAAGTATAAGCAAATTTTTTTATTCTAATATACAAAATTATACAACAATTTGTAAATTATTTATTTTGGTCCTATATCTGTTCGGTATACTATTTGAGTATCATATGCAGTCTCTTTTAAATTTAACTTTTAAAAAAAATAATTTGAAAAGTGTCGCCACTAATTTAATTTAAAAATTAACAAGCTATTCGAATATTAATGGAACGCAATAAGGAAGAGAATCATATTGATTCGCAGAGTCCAAATAATTTCCATTAGAAACGATTTTATGCGCTCTATCTGATATATAAATATTCAAGTTCGAGTTTTCTTGTAGTATATCAAATATTTTTAAATTCGGCGTTGTAAAACTCAATAATATTTTTGGTTTAATCATTGAAAAGTTATAAATTTTTATGAATAAACAAAAAAAATTCCCTATATCTCTTGTTAACATAAATGACATAGTTGGCAGTTCTAATTTTTTATATATTAATTTAGCAAATATAATTATAAAACAAATATGTAGACAAGTAATATAAATAATAATTTCTCAAAAAACAATCTATTTTTATATTAAATATATTTTTATTTTATTATTATTCCATAAAATAGTGAAAATTTTTTATTGTTAATTTTAATAGAAAACCTCAATCCTTATATGTACAACGTAAAATGGTTATTAAAAATAAAATATTAAATATGTTTTTTAAATTTAAATTTTTATTTTTATCTGAAACATAAAATCAGTTTATAATTTTTAACACAAATTCACAATTATTATATGTACAATAAAATATATATTAAAATTGTTAAAAATTAAATATATTAAAAATAAAAAGCTTTATATATAAATGAGAGAAAAGTTAATGAGAGCAGCAATTAAATTTAATTTTAAAAAATCAAAAAATAATTATAAAATTTCCGTGACTTCAAAACTGCATTGTTATACTTTATTATAATTTACTAAATTAAAGCTTACGAGTTATAATTGCCGAATTATATTCTAATACAGTTGTGTTACTGCAATTCTAACTTCACGGAAATTGCATGTTTAAAAAATATTTACAAGAAATTTAATTAATTTTATCACAATAAAATATAAAAAAAAACAAAAACTCTGTGATTTTATCCCATTTTCTTTCCTTTTCTTCATTTAGCCTAATAAAAATTTTTTATCAAAACGAATTAATAAGGGTAATTTGTGATCGGGACATTTTACATGTGCATAAAACATTAATAAATCAAGACCTTTTGCTGTGACTTCATATATTGATCTTGATCTTATAACACTAAAAATAATATAAAGAGAGAAAAAAATTAAAAAAAAAAAATCAATTAAAGAAATGTGGATAAACCTTTTTGATTAAAAAAAAAAGATTTTTTTTTGAGATTAACGTGAAAATTTGCTATTGGATTTACAAACATCATAATCAAAATCAATTAACTCAATTATTATTATTATTTGGAAGATCAGGAAATCAATCAAGAAATATTTTAGTCAATTACATATAGAAAGTTCTAAATTTTATTTCAAAATTATAAAAAATTTATCAAAAAGACCGAATTATAAATTTTGAAGAAACAAAATATTTACTAAACAGACTGTAGAAAATGCTCTTTTCATAATTTGGAAAATGTAAATTTTCAATTAAAAAAAAAATATTAATTTAGTAGACCTAATTGGATTTTGTTTTGAAATTTTAATGATAGCATAGAAATACTCTGATTAGATTTTATTTTGTTTCAAATACGAATTTTATAAAATTTTTTGAATAAATTAATAAATTATTTACCAAAATTAATGATTTTTATTAGGAACAAATAAAATTTAATTAAATGTTGAAAATGAATATGAATTCTGTGAAATTTTCTTTATTCAATCTCAAATCTCAAATATTTTTATTAAATCTCATATATATTTTTAAACCTATATTGTATGTATACCAATCTGTGTTGTAACTACAACAAGAGAAGGGTTCTTATTTAACAACTTAATCAAGTATTACAAAAGTGGCATGATTAAGATAAACAATCATTTTCAAATCAAAATCGATTGGGTATGTGAGTAATTTTATAACAAATATGGTAGAAGAATATGAGTAATCTCATGTCTTTCTTTTTATGCAAAAAACAGTATAATAAAGTGAGGCTTGTGAAATAAAAGATAATCAAGATAATTTTTTTGTATTTTCATTACATGAGAATTATACGATATTGAGGGCAAATATTGAGTATAGTTTTCAGAGTATAAATGTATTATGTACCACTCTAAAAGAGAAGCAATTAAAAACTGGTTTAAAATCATATAATCACATAGAACGCGCAATATTATGTACAATACATTCAATTTTAATTTTAGATTTTTATATTTTAAATGTTTATTAATATTCTTGCTTACCTTTTCACATTAATATGAATTTAATCCAGTAAAATTTTCATAATTATTGTCTTTATTTAAATCCCTACTTAAGGATGTTATAAAAAATTTACTAAATTAAGTGTATAGAATTATTATGAGTTCTAAAACTAAATAAAATTTCAATTCTTAGCGGGTTGAGTAAACATAAATGTAGTATTCATTACACGGCCTTAATGTTTTCCACATTGATATAATTATTTATTAATTTTTATAAATTCAAAATTTTCGATTATAATTAAATTTTAATTAAATTTAATTTTATTTATACTGATCTAATAGTTTACAATAAGGGTGGCATGGCAATCGTATCAAGTTTCATATATAACAATTTTTGGAAGAAATCAACTTGTTTTATTAAATCGGACATAGAAAAAAAGTAATATTTTAATATAAAGAGTTCCTCTATATATGACTTATAGCTTTAACTATGATTCGATTTTCACTAAAATTTAGATATTTTCATAAAAGCAATGCTGCAAAACAATAATTACGGAATGCAGTATTGTAAAAACATAATATACTGAATATTCAATATATTTATTTTAACTACTTTACAAAATCAAAATAGTTTATATAATTCAATTTTGTTTTAGATACCCCCATTTTTCTATATTGCAATTAGCCGTGCTTATTAACAATTTACGTTACCAAAATTTATTTATGAATGCAAATATATCCCAGTTTTCGCCATATATCGCGTTATACAACGTTTAAAACAGGCCTTTTATAGTTAAATTTTCTTTGTCAATTTGATAAACTAATTAATTTAAATAAGACATAGGACCTTATAATTTTTACAAAACCTTAGCAAGGAGCCTATTTTATATTGCTGATTTTATCTCAACAATAATTAACGAAGAATATTCAGAAGTTGAAATTGTGTTCTAAGAGTTTACATATTAGATCTTTTACATAATTTTGATCATATTATAATAATGACAGTCCAATTAATAAACTTTCACAAATATGCATCTTTACAAACTTTTTTGGAAAATTGGGTTCCCTATAACCCGTTTCTTTAATAAATATACCATTCAATTAGAAAACAATAATTTCATTTAAGAAAACATAATACCGTAAACTCGCCTATGCATGCTGATAACACCAGGTTTGTATATCCGTACGAATGTATGTTCGAAGGGTATTATAATTTTACTTTGTAACGCTAAGAAATAATGATCTGAGATGTAGACATAAGTGTATGTTTTTTTTCCACGTCGAATTCTGAGCTGATTTAAACATGTCTATAACCGTCTGTCCTGCCATACAACTTCAAAAATTATTTAATATTATCTCCGAAAATATTGAAGTTATAACATAGAAATTAAGCTAAAACAGATATATTCTTCATGGTATCTTCATTGGGACGCGATTCTCAGAGAGTTGACAGAGTCAACTCTAAATCTATTCTCGCCTTTTTACTATTTTACTAGAAGAATGACTAATAAAAGATTATTTGTTCATATACAGCGTATGTCCCATAACATGATATTGTTTGTACTGTGAAAATTTTAACATATGTATATAAAATTTGGTTTTTGATTATAATTAAATAATTATTGTTTTTTCTTATAACACACTACAAAAAAATATAAAATAAATCATTATTAGAATTTTAATGCAAATATTAGAAAAAAAAAATATTAGTATTTTAAAATTTTAAATTAATTTTTTGCACTACAAAAATAATTTTCAAAATTACATAAAATTTATTAGATTTTACAATACATTATTATTATTATTACATTAATAGGTTAACAGTATAAAGTATATAATATAATTAATTATTATTAAAATAAATGTTAAAGTTTACCTTTATATAAGAAAAATTTTACTCGTGCATGAGTAATTGTGTAATTCGTATATTAATTTGGCTCAAAATCACCCATTTATTTAAATTTTTATATTATATAATATATGAAATACCATTATATAAATACGGATTAGTTTTTTTTTTTAATTACTACAATATTTTTGCGCTTGTATGTATAATCTACGTCTATGTATATAAGCTGTTTTATTTTTAAAACAACATGTTAATTTATACAGAATTTCTGTTAAAAATTTTTATTAAAACGTTTGATATTTTGTGAACACAATTTTGTTGTATAACAATATATAACAATATATATAGTGAATTAATATAATATATGTATATGTGGGTATATATGTGTAAAAAAAAGTTTCCTTTTAACTGTACTTTTAAATTGAAAATGTAAAAAACAAAAATGTTTAATAATTTTTATAAAATTAAAATATTTTTAAATTGAGGTTTCATAATGTTTTCTCTAAATTGTTAATAAAAGTTGTTTGTTTTTTAATAGTGTTACATTACAATATTTATGTATTAATAATATATTTATATTATTATAAAATAAAAAATTTATTAAAAATTTTTTAGTATATATACCAATTATATAATTAATCTACTTTTATTAATTTTAATTAATTATTTATTTTTTTTTTTAAATTTTCAATGTCGTAAATCAGAATAAAAAATTAATTATTGTGAATGAATTTAATATTGCGTTTATTTTACTTATAAAGAAACGATATTCAAATATTAAAATATTTTTAGTATATAAATAAAGTTTTATTGTTATAAACTTTGATATTTGCTTTTCATATCGCCATTTGTTCGTTTGGGCAAAAAATTACTAAGTGCCGATTTGAGTATTTAAAAGGTTTGAACTGTTTTTTTTACAAATTTATCATGTTTTTACGTATACGATATGTCCAAATTATAGTTATAAAAAATTTGATTTATTGTTTACATTCTTCTACTTTGAGTTTTTACGAAAATTGGACTGATTGCCTTCTATTTTTTCCCATCAAACGAACGTTTCCATATCTAACTATAATAAAATTTTTATTACATCAAATAAAATTCATGAACCTTAATGTGTAAACACTGGCTTTACTATAAAACTAGTATAATTTTACTAGTTATATAGGTATATAAATTTCAACACAGTTTTGAATTTCAATAGCAATATAACGTACGCGCTTTTAACAATACAAAATTTCAATAGCGATATACGAGCTTTTACAGAATTTCAATAGTAATACAAACTTTTTACTTCGATATCCAAAATTGCTGTATGAGAATAATTGCAGGAAATTTTTGCACTGGAAGTAAACTAAAATTTATAATACTTTTTCCTGACACTCAATTCCTTTTTTACCCAAATATCCGATATAAAATTTTTTTTTAATGTAATTAGGCTATATATAATTGAATATCAATTAAATACCATCCATTAAGTCCGATTTCATTCTTTATATTCAAAATTTTAAAATTTTAATGAAAAAAAATTTTTTCTTTTGAATTTAAATTTTTTCCATTAATTATTCAAAATCTGCAAAATAATTAATTTTTTTTTTCCGAATTACAATTTTTAAATTATTATAAAAATCAATACAATATTAAAATATAAAGGAAAAAAAAGGTAAACAAGAAAAGAAAAATAATTTTTAATTTTAAGATGAAAAATTTTTTAACATTAAAATTTGGGCAATTTTCAATAATTTTTTTCAGTGAATTTTATGAATAAATCGATTATTGCTCAAATTTTAAGTTCGAAACATTAGAGATTTCTACTGAAAAATTAAAAGGGCAAAAAGTATATTTTTTTTTTGTATTTTAAGTAATTTATTATAAATGATGATTGAAGAAAAATATTTGCAAAAAAAAATTTTGAATTTTTATATTTTTTAGGAAATTTTTAAAGGAAATGAATAAAGGAAGGTATGACAGAAATATATATGTATGTGTAAATATAATTTGCAGAAGAAAAAAAACCCAAATCCATACAGAAAAAAAAAAATATAAAATGAAATTAAGCTTAAAAAGAAAAGCATACCATCCGATACTTTACATGCATTTTATATAGTTTTATATATTAGATATACTTATGTGTATATAAGTATTATTATATACACATAAGGATAAAAGAAAAAAAAAATGATAATAATTGAAGATTAAAAATTTTTTGTTTTTTGTCTTTTTACATTTTGTCTTTTAATTTATCAGTTTCTTCGGATATTGCTGCGAGTCTTTCGGCTCTTTCACGTTGTTTATCTTTAAGTTCCTGATTTGGATCTTCTGAAATTTCCTGTTTCGCTGAAAATTTTCTTGATGGCCTATTTGGATCCAATACACTTAGTGATTTTGCACCTTAAAAATAAAAAAAGGAATAATAATTAAAATTACATTTGGAAATATTTTATTTCATTTATTTAATTTAATACAGTAAATTTTTATTTATATATACATATGTATATTACGAGGATGTCGACAGATTTATTGCCTTTGTATATATTATATTCTATAAATTCATTTCAATTATTCGGGAATCCAATACCAATATTTTGTATAATTTTTCTTTAAAGACATCAATTGAATTTACATAACTCTGGCAATGACGACTCCAGGCAATTGCCTAACATGATGCAAAACCCGATTATATAAATATTTAAAGCTTTTGTATACAAATTTAATATAAAAATTCAGGTGAATTGGGTTCTATGAGAACAATTCTAATTCATTTACATTCATTTATTAAACAAAAAACTATGACTTCGAAAATATGGCAAATTAAAAAAAAAATATTTTAATAAAATTGAGAATGAAAAACTTTAGAAAAATTTGGCCTTAATTCTGAAAATTTTTATGTTTTAAGTTCTGGTCCATAATAAAGTGTTAAAAAAATATTTTTATAAAACTACAGATTAGATAACTAAAATTGAATTAAGAAATAGAAATTGAATTTCGATTTAAATTGTATTGGGGTGATTTCATTTTATTGGTGAAGTTATTTAGGGAAACAATTAAAATAATTTGGTCGAGTTAAATAAATAGTTGACTAGAAGTTAAACATTTTTTAGTTGCAACATTAGCCATTAGAGTGCTGCATTTGTGATATCAGAATATTTATTTTTGTTAATTTTAAAAATTTTTCTATTATTTCTCAAAATATGCCATTTTTTAATTTACTTTTATTAATAATATTTATTTTAGAATTAAATTGTAAATAATTCTCGTTTTATTTCTACTTGGTTTTTTTTTAATTGGATTTTATTTCCTTATATAAGATCTTGCCAATAATTTAACAAACTTGAACTTACCTTTAACTATAACTATTTTGGCAATATAATATAATTTCAAATTATTGCCTTTACTTTAACTGTATTATAAACAATAAAGTCCCGAAATTATATCACCTTATTCAAAATTTTTTAAAATCAAACCCTAAAACTCAATATTTTATGTCACCTAATCATAGTCCAATCAATCGACATACTATACAGTTTCAACCCTCTGGTATAGAAGGTTTCCTATATTCAAATCACTATTCAAATCGTATTATATGTAATTTTACTCCAACAACAATTCCAAACAAGGCCATTTTTGTGTTTTAGGTGTAAATTTGAAATTAAATTTTGCAAAATATTTTTAATAATCTTATCACAATATTAATTTGCTGGTTTAATATTTTAATTCTTTTAAGGTCAAATAAATGTATAGAAGTAGTATAACTTAATATTTGTATTTAGTCAATTAAAATCTTTATCTCTTAAAATTTTTTAATTTTCCCACTCGTAATAATATAGTGCCTATTTTCTAAAACGGCGCTTCCTTTTCATTTCATTCCAATTTCAGAGTTTGAGACACATATAAAATAGATTTAAAGTAAAATAGTAAATTTAAGGTAGAAATATCACAAATTCTACTCTACTTCTGTGTAAATAAAACAAATATAAAATTAGGTTTAAACCCATAGTTTGCATAGTAGAGCTTTTCCCTTAAACAAATGAAATTACTGCTTTTAAAAACAATTAACATATTATTACCAAAATATTTCAAAAGATTGCATATATTTAGGATGAGACAAAAAGAAAATTGCAGGAGGTTTTAACATAATGATCGAATTGAAGGGTTAACTCCGTGAGTAAGGTTACTCCGTGCTTGAAATTTTTAATTAATTAATTTCTTCAATAATTTCCAAACTTTTTCTCTCCCCTGAAATTGTTGGTAATTGGGACAAATCAACTCTTATATAGAAAATTATAACAAAATTTTTGAATATACGTAATTTCAAGCAACTCGTTCTCAGTAATGGCTGCCTCACGGGCTAAAGAGTACGTATTCAGCGAAAATTTATAAACACGAAATTAAAAATTTCTTACTTCGAACCGTAAATACTTGGATCGACTTGAGAAAATTTTCATATTTTAGAAATAAAAATTTTTTTTCCAGTTAAACAATCGGACACGATTTCAAAACCTCTCCTTCAGAAAGCAATGAAATGAAACTTATAGGCATATAGCGTTTTTAAAAATAGGCACTTAAATAAATACATAAATATATTATAATTCTAAAGCGAAGAGCATTTTTAAATTATAAGCAATTTCTATACAGCAATTTTGCTTATTTTTTTTTTATTAATTTCAAATAATTTTAATTTATTATGTATTAATTATACTTATTATTTGTATGTTTTATAAGTATATGTTTTGTGTATAATATTTATAAAAATGTATGTATGTGTACAAAGATTTATTTGTTATTTAAGATTATTGTATAAAATAAATTAATTTATTTGTATAATAAATTCAGAGTTGAAAACCAGCTATATGTAGATTAGATACAAATTAGATTTAAAATTTAAAAAAAAAATTAGAGTTAATTTATCTTATATCCATTTATGAATAATAAATAAAGTGATTTTCGATAATTCAGTTTTAATTTAGCTTTCAAATTATATACAACACATTCGACAAATCCAAAAATCTGCAAAATCTGTAAAAATCATGTTCCAAAATCATAGAACTTTAAATGTAGTTCTACAAGCAATTTTTAAGTCTTTGATGCTTTTATAATTGTATTGAAAAATTCTTATAAATTAGAATATTGAAGAATTTTTCGAGTCTGTTATAAATCTGCAAAACTAAAATATTCAGTTTCTGCGTGCAGATGTGCAAATATGTGTGAAAAATTTTTAAGATTTAATTAAGAACTTTTAGTGCATGTCTGAATTATCGAAAATCCCCTAATATTGATCTTGTTTTTATAGATAAGTAAGGTGGCTATCTAAATACAGATCTAAAGTTTATATTATATTATATTATGAATTATTCTGTTATATAGAATTTGATTTAGCGCTTAGATCTGGATTTAGGTGTTCTTCTTGGCAATTTTTTTTGTAGAAAAACAAAGAATAATATTTTTTTTTACCAGAAAATAATATGGTTTTTTTTATTTATTTGAAAAAATATATTTTTTTTTATTAAATAATAATTAAATTTTCAAAAAAAAAAAAAAAAAAAATAAATAAATTTTTTTTTTTTTGTTTACTTAAAATAAAAGCATAGCATTATATACAAAAACAAAATTGAATATTATTATATAATAATTAAAATTTCAAAATATACAAAAAAAACATAATAGTATATGAATAAATTTTTGATATTATATATAGCTATATATATGTAGATATATATAAAAACATAAATTTAATTTCTATATTGACAATGTCGAAAATTATATTATTTTCATTTTTATTTTAATTCATTATATTTCAAATAAAGAAAATTTAATATAATTAAATTATTCTAAAGTACATAAATACATATATACTTTTGTATAATAAATATGATTCTAAATATTGTATATATGTATATGTATTTATAATTATATAAAATCAAAGAATATATGAATATGAAAAACATTATTGTAAGAGAGCACATATTATATAAAATTTAATATCGTTTAAATTAAAATTGAAAAAATGAATTAAAAAACAAAAAAATTAAGAACAAAAAAAAAAAAGAAAGAACTGATCAGCATAATTTGAAGACATTTATTTTTGACAGTAAGACCGCATATTTATGCATATGTGTGTGTGCGTGTGTAGATAAAGAAATTAAAGAGAAACTCCATTTTATTCTGCGATTATCTTGACATCCTGAGAACTTACAGCTTCAACTAGAAATACGCGAAATATTTTTTGTTTTGGTTTTTTTTGATTTTGGATTTAATTTTTTTTTTATTATAAATAAAATATTAATCAAAAAATTGAAATTTTGATTAAAAAATTTGTTAGTAAAGAAAATTTTATGAAGAATTTGCGAAGCTTTATTAAATCCATTCAAAAAATTTATTTGCATTCTTTTATATTTTTTTATATATTCTTGATATTCAATTGTAAATTATTATACATTTTCCAAAAATTTTCAATTAAACAATTAAACCAATTCACAATCTCCAGTGTCTACTATAAATGGAAACTACATAACATGGAAAATTTTGAGTTTCTATACATTAAATTTTGAAATACGTAGTCGATTAATTATTTTAGTATACGGTATAATACTCTATTATGAAATTATACAACAAAAGCAATTCATTGATAAAAATTCAATTGAAAAAAAATTAAGAAAAACAAGAACATGCGAGTTGAAAATTTAAAAATTAAAATATTAAAATTAATTTTTTTTTTTTTGGATCATTCTTCTAATTTTTGATATGAATAATTTAAGAATTAAATTTTGAATTATAGTCATTGTATTTTAATTTTGTACAATATAATTAATGTGGCATACCAAACTGACCAATTGAAAAAGTGAAATTAATTATTTAGGTAAAATATTTGCACTGTTAAATTTAATTAAGAATTTTATTTTACGATTTCTATAAATAATATCTAATTTAATATTTAATTAAAGGTAAATTTTTTATATACAGGGTTTTTCCATTGTAAGTATTTTATTTTAAATATAGTTGAATATATATACAGGGTGTTTTGCATAAGTTGGCAGATAATTTCAGGGATGATGCGTTGATAAATTTTCAGTAAAAAACTTGTATGAATGTATGGCGAGGTAGTGTCCATCTCAATAGGCTGTAACTTGTTTTCGAAAAAAAAGGTTCCAGATTTTTCATGCTTATACTCGTAGCTTTGGAGCTCTGCGACATTTATTTCGTTAACCAATATAACATTTTCCTCTATCTCTTATAGTTTTGCCACTAAAATCTATTTTGAAAAAATGTTTGGTTCATATACCTTAAAATTATTTTCCAACTTATACGAAACACTCAGTATAAAATTTTCATAGTCTAATAGGATACAACATGGCTCAGCTGATATAAATCCATAATTCAGCTTTTGTTTTTCC